ATAACAACAACAACACGGAGGAGAGTGATCCTAGGGCCATAATGTGGAAGGAGATACTCTGTGTACTGTCTGTATGAATTAAATTGTTTCTGCTTTTCAGTGTGTTCCCACCTCATTGTTTCATGCCACCCTTAGGAATGATATGATCAGGGAATGTCGGATCCTGGGATGAATGTGGCCCTCCACTCCTCTATGTATGGCCCTCAGGACTCTCTTCAGGCTTTGCCCCCACACCAACCCTGTTCCAGGCCCTACTTGAATGCTTTTGCATGACTGGAATGTGATTGTGTCTCTTGTTTGCCTAGATGGAGCAAAACAACTGTGACTCTTACATGGCTACAGTACAAAGGTTACGAATCACACCAGGATCTCATTGCACCTGGCATACATAGGTCTACACTTCTGCCCAGCTGGCAGATAGTCATGCACGTGACATACAGCACAATGACTGGAAAGCCCCTCCAGCCCTGCTCATTTTCTACCTGCGTAACTATTGTTCTGCTTCCTACCCCTATTATGACCCAACAATCTTCTGTTATGAGCTCACCACTGGGCCTTTCCCCCCTAGACTCTGATTTCATTTCCTCTATTTCTTGTCCCCTTATTATTTACTCTTAAGTGCAAAAGCTCTCTGCTCCAAGTCCCCTTCCCACCTTTCTTTGGATGCTGCTCTAGAGGGCACCACCTTCTTATCTCTGCTCACTCTGCAGGCACATGAAGTGCATCCCAACAATTCATTTCCTTCTCTACTGATTCTTTCAGCTTTCCACTTTCTGGTTCCTCATCAAGCCCATGCCTCCCTCTTGGCATTTCTGTTTTATCTCTGCACACCAAGAGGAGAGGAGAGGAGAGATGTGCCCCCTTCAGCCTGACCTTGTTTACTATAGGTGGACCCTGATTTTGGAGTTCGCGTACAGCCTTTACTGTATGAAACCTCACTCACTCTTAAGGGTCAGGTTTTGCAACTTGAGGGTGCTCTTGGATCTGACCCTGGTGCTGAATGTCCTTAGGGCAGCAGTAGCCAGGAACACAGTGTACCAGCTTTCATTGATATGCCAGTTGTGACTGTATGGCCTTGGTTATTCCTGCAATGGTGACACTCTTTGTGGAGCTGCCCTTGAAAAGTGCTTGGAAAGAACAAGAATAAATATTATAGGACTTCTTCAAGAGAAGGAGCAACCACCCTCTTGGGTTTTATGGCAGCTGGGGAAAGACCATTGAATAAATGAGTTCAACTTGCAAGAAAAGAAGAGCATTCAGCAAAAGCGATAAGCAATAGTGGAAGGAAGGGTGACAAATAAATCAAATAAAATAAAAATCAAAAAGCTGTTGTAGGTTAATTTAATGAGTTGGATTCAGACTTTCAGTCATGCTTTGGGGTAGAGCCATTGAAATCAATTGACTCTAAAGAAAGTCTTATTTATTTCAACAGGCCTACAATCACATCGTTATTAAATTTATTACAATCACAGGAAAGCCCTGAAAGCGTGCATTTCAAGTGTCAAAGGCCAGGGTAAAGGGTGCACATCTAAGTCTAGAGCCAACCCCATAAAATGTCAAAAATCAAATACTGAGATTCAGTAGGTTCAGAAAACAGATTCAAATATAGAAACAAAATATTCAATAATAAGTTGCAAATATTTTTAGCCATAGAATATCTGGTGACCATTCAGCACAATGTTTCCCAGAAGTGATTCCTCCTTCTCACTAGGTGATATTGTGCAGTCACTAGACTTCTGTAATGAAAGATCTATGGTTGAAGGCATTATTCTAATAATAATGAAAGGAAGGAAGGAAGAAATGTCTCACATATGATTTTGAGCTAGAAGCAAGAGAGCAACTAGCAGTGCCTGACGGTGAAAATGACTGTAGTGTTCATTTACTGGCAACAAGGGAGACAAACTCTACACTACCCTTTATGTCTTTGGTGCTATAGACAGTGAATTAACTGATACATGATAGAGTTCGGTTTGCTCTGACTATGCTTTCAGAGGTGAACATGTACAACATAATAGAGATTCACCCTAAGGGGTGAATTTGGAGTAGGGTTTCTCAGCCTTTGTAAAACACAAGGGAACCAGGAAGCTGAGCTTAACCAGGACACAAAAAGGAACAGGCGCCTTTGCTGGAACACAGGAACCAATTGCAAAGATTTGAAGGCTCTGGGTCTGGAGGCAGCACTGACTTTGCTTTACATTTCAGATCATTTGATCATTTCCTTTGTGCCATTTAGCATATTGCGTTGCTACTATTGAGTGCAGGGCTGTTGTAAAAATAGCAGCCTTGGTCTTCTAGAACTCCACAGGTGACACTTCCAAGCAGAAGCTGAAGGCACAATTATGCCACTTTCCATTCCAGGTACAGAGTTGATCTCATGATCATCAATGCATTACAGTGCTCTGAAGAGCTCTTCCGGGAGCTGTCCTTTGTTCAGGGTGCTGGAAGTTTTCAAAGACACCCATTCTCCAGAGCTATAATTCCTAGACTTTCCTGTGAAGAAGGATTGTTAAACCATTGTCTGGATTGTAGTTCTGGGAGAGTCCGGACAACTCTCAGCACCCTTAAAATACTACAGCTCTCAAAATTATTTGATTGGAGCCATGACTCTTTAAAACGGCATCATAGTGCTTTAAATGTATGTTGTGAATATGGCATAGCTTAGGGTTGCCACACGTCCGGATTTTCCCAGATATATCTGGAATAATGCAGTTGGCAGCAGTGTCCAGGCAGAAATCGTATGGCAGCTCAACAACTTTTCTGTCCCCTTTTTTCACTTTTTGAAATATGGCAACATAGCTCAGGGATTTCACAGCTGCTTTGCTCCTATGCCTTTGAAACCACCTTGAATTGTGTCCTTCAGACCAGAGGGTGCCAACTTGAATAAAATATTGAGGAGGGGGACAAGTAAGCCCTCTCCTGCATAATCAATCACAAGACTTGGCACACACACATCATTTGAATGCCCACGAACTTTGGGGATCCCCTCAAATATTTTATTGGGGTCCTCAGTCCCTAGGAGTGGGCTACTTCAGACTAACTCATGGACTGTATTGTTCCCTGGATCATTAAAAAACAATGACAGTTTCACACACACCTTTCTATTATACAGATGTTGACAAAAAAATGTATTACATAAAAATATAGAACACTTACTTTGGGTTACACTGGTGTCATCTCTAGTATCAAGCACACCACTAAGACAAGAAGGTAGAGCTGTTCCTACAGCTTTATGTAATCTCCAAATCAGCCTGAATTTGGGGTCTTTGGTTAGGAACCCTAAGACTGCTTATAAATCCAGGGTTTTGCCCCTTGCCTGCCTGCTGCTCATGATGACTCCTTCCCCCATCAACACTGCAACACACCACCATCAATGTTGCCTCCCACCAGTGTCCTGAATATGAGCCCTGGCTAAGCAGGCATAGACCCAGTTAAGCTGAGTTGAGGGACTTATTATGATGGCATATCCCAAGTAAAAGTGAGATGGCAGGAATTATGTCTGTGTAGCTTTGGGGGACAGCTCAAGGTCTGCCTATTTCAAATGTGCTGGGCAGAACTTGGATTTGGATTGTGCTGTAAACTCTTGTAATGTGATAGAAATGACTGCTGGTAAAGATGGTAGAGATAAGAGGCAGCAGAACAGCAGTAATCTGTCTAGAACTCCAAATACTCTTCATGCCATAAGCCATGTCCAGCTATTTCTAAGGAAGCGTGGAATTGTTGGGTCAAAAAGACTTGAATGCAACTTGTCTGACCCTGCCATTCATTACAACTGATTAGCAAAACAATATTATAACATTTTGAATCAAAGAATCATAAACTTGTAGAGTTGGAAGAGACCCTGAGAGTCATCTAGTCCAATGCAGGGAGTTGGACTAGACGCCTTAATTGGGAATAAAAATAAAGGCCTTATCAGATCCTAAAAACTGCTAATTGTTCTTTATACTCTGGCAATACAAATCTATACACATCTTTTTCAATCATCTAAATGCTCTTATATGATTTGTTTAGTAAATGTATACCCCACCCTTCCAGTGCATTTGCATCTCTGAGGGTGGTTCATAACAATTAGAAACCAATCAATCACATAAAAACAACACAACCCAGCAGCAAAGACTCCTATCTAAAACCTTGGGTGGTCACTGCTAGTCACTTCCAATGGTCTCATTTCCTATAAGCTATTTTCCTGTGTTCCTATGATGTTATGTAGCATGCACATACTGCAATTGTGCTGTAGAAATGTGCCAGCCAGTATGTGGAGCGATTGATAGAGAGATGGATCTGGGAAGCAAAGGTGAACTCTACCCTCACTCAACCATTGTGCATCTCTGGTGACTTTGGTCTAGTCACTCTCTCTTAGCCCAACCAGCCTCATAGGGAGGAAGGGTGAGAAACGAAGGTGAGAAATCAACAGGCAATCAATCAATCAATCAATCAATCAATCAATCAATCAATCCATAAATAGGTGATCAGAATTAACCCTCGGTTCATTCACAGATCTTTAAGGGAAACAAATGCATTTCCTTTATATCTCTTTGAAGGGCATTACAGAAAGGCTACTGCACAAACAGATACCAAAAGCTGGCTTTTTGTTTTAAACCAGCATTCTTCACCCTTTAACAGAAGGAGCATTTGGTCTGTAGCTAACACTTAACCATCCAGAGTGATTTATCTGGAGACATCTTGCTGGTTGTGCTCCATTAATTTTAGAAACAGAAGGTCTGTTCAGCTTGTGCAATGGGATGTTTTAGCCATCAAGAACACCCAGGGAAGGCTTGCTAAATGCGCTGCTAGGCAGGGGCAGGTGTCAGCCTCCTTTGATTTGTTCAGGGTCCAGATTCAGCAGAAATATGTATTTCCTGTGCATTTGTTTCTCACAGCAAGAACTATTATTTGCAAACACATCCCCCCCAGCCTACTGCTGCCTCAAGGTATAATTTTTGACAGATAACCTTCTTAAATTAAACATGCCATTTTCTGTGTTATGAAAGAAGAGAGGAAAGCTAAAGGTTCAGAGGATGAACTAAAAAAGGCCCTCTCTTGAATGGTTCCAAACACTGCAAAATCTATTCTATTAACAAAAGAAATGGGGGGGGGGGCAGTTTAATCAAAGCAGTGATGGGAAATACAGGTCACATCAAAATTGTATTAATATCAAGAGACTGAAAATAATTGTATGAAGAAAACTATTGAAGAGAGCATGAGGGGAAAGCTTTGATGAAAACAACAAGTAAGCATGAAATAATAATTCATGGTGTATGTAACTACTGAGTGATTTGCTAACTAAAATCTTCCATTATCTAGGAAGAAGCATTGGTCAAGCCATTGGTCTATAAAGATGTGAAGTCCAATATAGCATGCTGCATATTGCAAGAACCATTAGCTGGATGTGCTAAGCTGCTTCTTTGCAATGTCTGATATGAAAACCTTTGGTGGAGACATGTGACAGCCTTATTTTATGCACTTCCTCTGCAGGCTTGTTTCCCTTTGGATGTTACTAAGAAGCATCACCAGATAGATTCATGAATCACTTGCAGATCTGTATAGCAGCACTTTCTATGTCTGAAGGCATTCTGCCCTAATATTATGAAGGATACTACACAATCATTTTAAATCTGGTGCCTTGGTACAAGTCTGCTCTCATGAAAGAGCATCATGCCCCAAAACACAAGTTTTGGGGTGCCGCACGAGATTCTGGACCCCGAAAAGCACTTGTCCTGACAGTTGAGGGGTATGTCACTTTCCTGAAAAATGTCGTCAAGGTTTCAGTATCATAATTGGGCCTGAAACCTGACTGAATTGGGCCCAGTTATGAGTTTCCTCCATGAATGCCTGAAGCTAATCTCCCACCACACTCTCAAGCATCTTCTGCCCAAAGGGGATATTTGCCACTGGGCTTCTGGTTCCAGAGAGGTCCTCTTCAGGGTATTTTTATATTTTGAATTGCATTTTTCTATGGTGTACTTTATTGCTCATTTTTAGTGATAGTGGCTTACCTAAGGGGTCTGCTTGCCTGGCCTGAAAGACAGGCTAAAATATTTAGATAAATATGTAAAATGAATTCAGTCATATCTTCACCTCAATTATTATTGTTGTCAAATTGCAACTTTATCACAATGCCATATTTAGTACTATTATGATCCGCCTATAATGATACAATGATTGCATTTTTTAAAAGAATGGCTTTATAGCTTTTTGTATAATGTGGACTCAGAAAGTACATTAGGCAAATGCAACGCTAGCTACTACTTGTGTTCGTAGCAGGATCAGGGTTAGGAATATGCATAGGAAGAAGATTCAACATTGATATATGGCAATTGCACCAATATGGCCCACATCCTTCCCAGTCACTTCCATATGCAGCTGGAATGCTAGTGCAGTACAATATGTGCATTCTCCATGGTGCTGAATCAATGGGAAAGGGACATAATGCAAGAATCTAATGATTTATGACCTTGTAACAATAAATTGCAAAATTTAGAACCCTTGTACTTCCCAGAGTTATTCATGGTATTTTTTAAAACACACACACACTTTAATTCAGTGCTTTAAAAGCACAGAGCAATGCTGTTGTTAATCAAGGAACAGGCTGATGGGATTTACAGGCATAATATACAACATAGCTTCATAGTCTCAGGCAACTCTGAAATGGGAACTGACTGCCTGCTTGTGTGCCTTCCAGAAACCCTCCAGGGAGCTCCCTGAACAGTCTCCAAAGCTATTGAATGACTAGATAAATAATAGCCTCTCAAAAACTTACTTGCTGCAGCAGTTGATCTGGCTGGAGCTGAGGGAGTGATTTGAGGTAGGTTGTAAGGAACCTTTAGATGAATTGTCAGTTTCTCACTTGAAATCAATATGGCTGGCATTCTGCAATACTTTGGGAATCTATGACATTCCATTTCTTCTCCGCCTGCTTGTGTACATCCATTGTAGGGAGCTGCCCTATTAATGTGATGCCACCATGTATCATGTGGAGGAAGGAACAAGAAGGCTGTACCTTCTGCCCTTGCACCATAGTCACATCCCATGTTGATTGTGACATATGCACATTGAACACTAAACTTTGTAAAAGGGCACATCTGCATGAGCAGCTCGCACATAGTCGCTCCGCGAGATCAGAACCCCCGAATCACACAGAGGTCCTGATTAGTTGGTATAATTAGTTGATCTCTAAGGTGCTACTAGAAGGAATCTTTAAATTTTGTTTCAACTACGACAGACCAACGGGACGCGGGTGGCGCTGTGGGTCCCTTTACCTTTACCTTTACGACAGACCAGCATGGCTACCTACCTGTAACTAGAACTATGGAAGGCACCACACTGAGCCGCATGAAATGGAAGTCCACCAACCTTACCAGGAGCTCATACCAATAACAAACTTAGTTGGTCTCTAAGGTGCTACTGGAAGGAATTTTTTTATTTTGTTTTGACTACGACAGACCAACACAGCTACCTACCTGTAACTAGGTCCTGATTGTGAGGACTGGCTACATATGAGCAGCTGTGCAGATGTCGGCACCTCTTTGCTCAATGTGTGGAGCTTTGGGGTAGGATTGGCACTTGCATGATGTCAGTTCCATAACCCTGCTCCACTCACACTGGAGAGAAAGCCGGAATATGGCTATTGTCTCCTGCGCATATAAGCAAAATTTACAGTGCAATCCTGGTCATAGCTGTGTAGAAGTTGATTGCAGCCATAGTAAGGTTGTCTGACAGGAGGTGCATATCTTTATTTTATTTTTTTATTTGCTAATTAAATTTATACCTTGACATTTCTCCCAAAGGAACACATGAACGCATAGACTAAGGTAGAAAAACAATAGCCCTATGATTTCTCCTCCTTCTTTCTAGACAGTAAGAATGATCCAAATATTTCAGAGCTGTCAGTTATTCCACTAATTACAAAATTCACTGTTGTGCTAAACCATTTTAAATTGTGTCATTTCTAATCTGATGTATCTATCCATCGTTTTCACCTCTGTTAGTTACTATGGGTTGTCTGCAATGCTAGTTCTACTCAGAGTAGAATTATGGAAGTTAATGGATGTGACTAATTTAGGTGCATTAATTTCAATGGGTCTACTCTCAGCCAAATTTAGTTGGCTACAATCCTAGGCATTCCTCTCCTCATAAAAGTCCTTATGTTCAGGTCAAAATGGGACTGAGACACTGAAATTGCAATAAGTTTCCCAGCATCTTAAAAATAATAATAATAACTGGCTTCTCCTTGAAGGATTACTTCATCTTCAGCCAATAACCTCTTGTCTGAGCCGGATGCTCACCATGGAATCTGTATGATAGTGGTATAATCTTTATTCTATCATAGCCCTGTATGCCTATAATTAAGCTGAGGGCTTATGATTCAGTGGTTCAGCTTTGTTTGTTCTTAGTGAACTGTGTGGAACTCTCTGGAGGAAGCATTTTTGCTGCTTGTGCGATTAAAGTTATATATATTCCTTCTGAATTCTCTTCTCACATAATGTCAAGTGCACTCTTTTGAAAAATGGATAATCTATACAGTGAATTTTTATAGGCAGGATCCATTTTTAAAAGTCTAAGATAAAAGCAAGGAACTGAGTAGAAGTAAAAAGAGGAACGGGGAAACAAAGAGCCAAAATAAAGTACATTTATTTTATGGCAGTGTGCAGTGCAAACAGAATATATGCTATTTTTTACTAGAGTATGTACTGCTAGAAAAATGACTGTGGTTGGAATGATAGGCCATGGGAATGAATTTTTAGACTTTACATTCTAACAGGAAAAGGAGGCTGTGGTATCCCCAAACTGGCCTTCAACTAAGGTTTCGTACCCTTGCCAATCTTCCAAATAGGGATGTCAGAGAATTTCAACAAAAGCGCCCCTCTGAAGTTTCTATAGGAGCTAGTACATCACCCCTGCTTCAAGCAGGTGTGATCTCAGGGCACCCCATTAGAGGAGTCTAGATGGAAGCCTATGTCCAGAAGCCAAGTATGGGGCAGATGGCCCATAGAGGTTCCAGTAGCATCTGAGGGGGCACCTTGGTAGACCCACATCTTGAGGATGTCTTACAATCCCAGGCATGACCCTGTTCAAGCATCTGCCCTCCATGTGGAGGCTGGAAATGGATATAAATCCAAGGCCTGAACCAAAAACCTACCTACATCTGCAATCAATAAAGTTGTAGCCAATTTTTTAACCCCAGAATGTTGCCTTGTCCAGTTCATTACACCTTTCTCTGTCTAGGCTTTCGTTCCCTGGGGCAGAGGTCACTGTGAGTGGGTCTGCAATGAGATAGTACACACAACTAGGACACACACAACCCCCCCTGTAAATTGTCATACAGTTTGAAGCCATATCTGCTTGACATGTGCACAACAACAATGCCGAAGCTTCTATGGGATTGAGGGGAGCATCTCTTGAAAAGCATATTTGGTGAGACATATTTTGTTCTGACCAAGGTAGGAAGGGAAAAGGTCAGCTTTCACTTCCCACCCACCAAAGGGTTGTTGGAATAGGAGACAGCTACATAGAGGAACAGAGGGAATCTGCTCACCTATAAATGCAGTTACAACTGACCAGTGCTATTTTTCTAGAAAATGAGGTGCCAGAACTCACTATGAATGCCTCCATTGTTCTCTTAGAATGCCAATGGCACCCACCTGAGAGGTGCCAGAACTGGATTCTGGCAAGTTCCATCTGGAAAAAAAGACCTGCAACTGACATAGATCCACTATGTTGATGTATCACCAAGTTCCACCAACACACAGGTAACTTAGCTGCTCTTCTTCATGATAATTTATTATTGTTGTTGTTGTTAACATTCACGAGTGGCTTAGACTCATAGAACTGTAGCGTTGGAAGGGACCTGAGGGTCATCTAATCCAAGCTCCCGAAATGCAGGCATCTCAGCTAAAGCATCAATGACAGATGGCCATCCAACCTCAGCTTAAAAACCTTCAAGGAAGGAGAGTCTACAACCTTCCAAGGGAATTTGTTCTACTGTCGAACTGCTCTTACTGTCGGAAAGTTATTTCTGATGTTTAGTCGGAATCTCCTTTCTTGTAACTACGTGCTTACTACAAAGCATACCTCAAAGTAGGACATACAGTCATACCTTGGTTTTCAAACGCATTGGGAGTCTAATGTTTTGGCTCCCGAATGATCAAAAATCGGAAGTGATTGTTCCGGTTTTCAAATGTTCTTTGGAACCTGAACATCCAACACGACTTCCACAGCTTCCGATTGGAAGCCGCGTCTTGGTTTCCGAATGTTTTGGAAGTCGAACAGAATTCCGGAATGGATTCCGTTTGACTTCTGAGGTACCACTGTAACTGAAAAACACACACATAAGAGTTTAAAAGAAATATCAAAAGAAATAAAAGAGCATTATTTACTAAAAACAAAACAAAACAACAGACTCCTACCCACTCTACTAAAAAAATGAATATTGAAACAGACAGGATCATCGTACCACATAACCCCAGTTAAGAACTGAATGTCTGGTCAACAAGAATGTCTTATAGTGATCCCATCTGCTTCCAGCAGGTGTAACTGTTTTTAGAATTACCTGGAAAAGTTGGCTCCAAGTAATGGCTCACAGTGTTTTTGTTACTCACATCTATCATATTAAAACTCAGATAAATCATTGGGGAACCCTGGAAGTGGCTCACTGAAGGAACTGAGCCAGAAAGAAAAGGTTAAATCTATAGGGAAAAGGATGTGCAAATTTCCCTGAGCAGCATGCTTGAGAGGACTGCTAATTAATTGGTGGTAAATAATGACACAGGGTGGATTGCAAGCTGATGACAGCAACGTGATGACTGATAGGACTAGAAAGAAGACAAAAGGCATGATGGGTGATGACAAGTCTTAATGCAAAGAGGGGAGGAAACGGGCAACTGCAGAGCAGGGAAAATGATTAAAAATTCTCTGGGGAAATTTAGGGTGTGCCTGAACCGCCAGTGTACAGTGCAAAACAATTAATGCTGCTAAAGCAAAGAGATGTCGAGCCTAATTGAATGCATTGCCAGAGAGCCAGAAAGACTCGCAAACAAGTGTTAAGCAAGCCCCTGGTGCGTCTCATGCATTGTAAAAGCATCAGAGCTAATAGGATTTGGACCAGATCGAAAAAGGAGTTGGGGTATGCTCAGTGTTAGAGATGAACAAAAGGCCCTCAAGGAATAGAAGAATTGTGCTTCTTTAAAGGGCAACTGGCAAATGTAGTCATGCAGGCTGAGTAAATAACCTGTGTCACATAGCCGCAAAGAGGAGATGGATGCTAAATTAAGCAGGTGTTTGAGATACCCCTTTCCTTAGGTAGACAAGAAGTTTTCTCACAAGAAAAGCTGACTTAGAAATACCTGTTGGAAGAATTGTGTTGGGAGCGTCATCCAGGGGGAAAAAATGTATTGACTTTGGAGGAGAATATGTATTTGTCAATATAGCATATTACATTTGTAAAGGGTTTGGCAATCTTTATCATCAATACTCTTGTGAAGGTGTAGGGAAGGGGCGGGGAGAAAAATGTGGTTCAATGTGCATTCTAATGCGAGTCTACGTAATTTGCACTTCCTGAAATGATATGGAAACGCATCTATCCTTCAAAATCCACACCTTTTCAAATTATTTTGTGATGCCCTCCCCCCGCCAAAAAAGTGTACATAAATTTATATATTAGGGAAAGTATTAAAATGCATATATCAGTGAAAATAGCATACAGAAAGGTAGTATAATAGGAAAAAGTGTTTGCAAAAATTGATATATTTGGCAAAATGCTACAAAAATAGGATTATTAGGAGAGCTACCCATTAAGATGCTGGAAATTTTCATAAGGGCTTTTAAATATACATTTCCCTGAAAACTGATGTGCAAATTGTTCCGCCTTAACTGAACTTAAAATTGGGAGAATGAGAAACCAAGAAAAACTGAGATTGACAGATTCAGCCATCTCTATGATGGAGCTCACAATTTGCATTTTATAGAAGAGCTATGGCTGAAAGAAGGTACAATATCAAAGATGATACTGTAATCCTTTTTGGCGGTGATGTCATTACGGAATGTTGTTTCCCCAAAATGCGCATCAGATGCCTACACCAGATTTCTTCAGGCACCATCTTGATGCATTTTGTTCTCCCAGACCTTTTGTCTGTGCCTTCTGTAGATAGTATGATGATAGTTTTATATGGTATCTAGGCCTGGTGACAAACTTACACAATGATGTAGACTGGCTTGAGGAGAAATCTCATAGGACATCTTTGCCGAAGATTGGTTTCTTTCTCTCTCTTTTACAGTGGTACCTTGGTTCTCGAATGGCTTAGTTGTTGAACAAATTGGCTCCCAAATGCCGCAAACCCAGAAGTAAGGGTTCCAGTTTGCAAGCGTTTTCTGGAAGCCGAATGTCCGACATGGCTTCTGCTTGAGTGCAGGAAGCTCCTGCAGCCAGTAGGAAGCCCTGCCTTGGTTTTTGAACAGTTTGGGGAGTCAAACGGACTGCCAGAATGGATAATGTTCAAGAACCAAGGTACCACTGTATTAACAGTTTGGAGGACTGTAGGGCATGTTGAATTTAGCACCAAAAATGAGGGGTGGCCTTATTTATGGAGTGTGTTTTACTAGATTGAGGGCACAAGGAGAAGGGGACGACAGAGGACGAGATGGTTGGACAGTGTTCTCGAAGCTACTAACATGAGTTTGACCAAACTGCAGGAGGCAGTGGAAGACAGGAGTGCCTGGCGTGCTCTGGTCCACGGGGTCATGAAGAGTCGGACACGACTAAACGACTAAACAACAACAAAATTTTGTTGAGAAGGCCTTTGCCCTCCCCCTCTCTGTGTTTGTGCATGTGTTTTGCTATAATCTATTTTGTTTTGTAAGCCATTTTGAGAAGGCCTTTGCCCTTACTGTGTGTGTCTGTGCATGTATGTGTTTATGAGTGTAGTCATGAATTTGAAAATCGTACTTCTAAGCCCTTTTACTAGTTAACAAAAAGCAGGAATCTGGCTCTAGTTTTGCAGTCATGACAGTTTCTAGACAGTGTGACTGAATGTGACAATTAGGCAATATGACTGCAAGAGTATGTCTTGGCCTAATGGGAATGAGAGGAAGCCTAAAGACATAGCTTCAATATGGGGACAGCTGACAATTCCCCCTGCTTAATAACCTTGGTTCTGCCCTTTGGAAAGTCAAGTGAAATAAAAACTGCACTTAACAGAGAAAAATTACCAAATAAAGCTGTCAAAGGGACACATTTACTGTGTGCATGAAGCCTGCTGGTTTTGTAATTTGGGATGGCCATTTCTATAAACATCTGATAAATGAATAAAGAGATAAATAAAATACACTGCTGTACTGTTACAACAAGCCCAATAAGAACCAGGCTCCTAAATGAGTAAACACATTCAAATGAATAAATCTCCACAGTATCAATTTATGCTAATGTTGCACATGATGGAACCTATTAGAACAATAGCCAGTAAAGTGAGAAAAGGAGATAAAACTATGATTGTGTTATAAGCTCTGCATTAATAGAATTCTATCTTTCTCTTACTTGCTGGCACCCACAATTAAGAAGGTGTTTCTCACCACCTAAATAACCGTCTCTGCCTTGAACCAATTGAGATTATCAGGCGCTTTATCTATGACTCTGAATTAATCCTGGAAGGTACAGAATACCTTTCCAATTTTTTGCAGTTTAACAAGTATTTCACGTCTCTGCAGTGGTGCAGAAGAGTGCACCGTGTTAATTTTGCACACAGTACAGCTGAACATAAAACTACACTGGACTCAGCTGTACAACTGCAAAAAACAACATTTTAAGTGTGTTTTAAGTGCAATGTGACACTAGATGGTGATGGTGAGCCTCATGGAAAATTCAATGTATTTAAGAAAACACACTTTAAAAAAAGCATTTTCAGAACTTTTTTTATGTGTCTATAGATTCCACCATAATGCTGCTATACAAATCTTTGGCACAACTGTGTATAGACTACTGTGTACAGTTCTGGTGACCTCACCGCAAAAAGGAAGCGGATCAGAAAGGGGCAACTGGAGTGACTCTCCTATGAGGAAATTAGTTTAGAAAGGTGAGTGGGGGGGAGTGTATAGAGAAAAGTTTTTATCCCTTTCACATAAGACTAGAGCTTACGGACATCAAATTAAGCTGAATGTCAAATGATTCAGGGCAGATAAAAGAGCAGTTTTTCACACAGCACGGAGTTAAACTTTGGAACTCAATGCTGCAGGAAGCAGGAATGGCCACCAACTTGGATGGTTTCTAAAAAGAGGCCTGGACAAATTCATGGAGGAAATGGCTGTTAATGACTATTAGACATGATAGCTATACTCTGCTTCCACAGTAGGAAGCAGTAATGTTTCTGAATACCAGTTGCTGAAAACCACAGCATGGTTTCTGAAATATGCACAGGTGGGTTCGAATCCCACCTTCATCGCCAGTGAAATATACTTGGAGTCGAGAGTAGATTTCATGCTCTTTATTCAGCTCATAATGGTGAGGAGGAATGGAAGTTCCCCCAGAATGTCTGCTTTATATACATTATTTACACAATGGGCCCCATGTGATTGGCTAATTCCGGGATTCTCCTGTAGGCCAATCAGGTTGCGGATTCACTTCTACCTGGAGCTGGATTGGGTGGCTCTTGTGGACCAATCAGACCGCTGCATTCTGGATCCTATTGTTCTAGGCCCAATCAGACTGCTCCATTCTGAATCCTATTCAACTCAGTACATAACACCTTCCACCTCTGTCTCGTGCTGGTGGAACATCAAGTCCAGCATATCTGGAGACATGATCAGCACCGCATATACAGAAACCTGGCTGTATTATTGGAATTGATAAAATGGGCTATGCTGAAACCCAGCTCAGTGGCTTCTCTTTCAAAGGAGCCAAAGTGTGTTAAACATCAACAAAAGAACTGCCTCTGAAAACACCAAGGCACAAAGGTACAAAACTGAATTTCCATACTCTTTTAAATGAGGTTTAAGCAATGTTTTAACACTCCAAGTGATGTTTCAAGGAAGTTCAAAGCCAGTGTTCACTCACTGTGTGGGAATAGGGGAGCAGAGTGCACTGTTGTATTGCTTAGGCAGCTGTGTGATGCTTCCTGTTTTATAGTGCTGCACAGCCAGAGTGGGCAATGAAACCACCACCGTTCAGCATAAGAAGAGAGGGAGAATCACCTGGTTGCCTAGGCAATGTGAGGACGTGCTCCTTGTTTCGCTGTACCGCACTGTAGCAGTATCATTGGCTGCTCTCACAGAGCAACACCAGAAGATGGAGAACATGTCCTCACGTTGCCTAGACAACTGAACGTTTGATGTCTTCCCATGATGTGCTATGG